TATACATTATACAGACTCATACACGTCTCCTAATGAACATTCCTTTGTTGTCTGCATTCTTTACTGCCTGTTTATACTGCTTAGTTTGTTATACTACACAGCCTTATGCTGGTTTACTTTTTACTTGCCCCTTGCATGGGGATATGTACATGCACATTGAGAGCCGATGTACCAGAGTCAAATTCCTTGTGTGTCCGACACACCTGGCCAATAAAGCAGATTCTGATTCTGACTCAGAAGGACCAAATGTAATAATTTACTTTCACAGAACTGTAGGAGTTGGTCTTCAACCAGTGATACATCCGTGTGTCAGTACAGCTTTATGAAAAGTAATTACCTGTGACACATGGACAGCTCCTCCTCCGTCGCTAAGCGAGCTGGTATCTCTTGGCAACGACTCACCAACCCCAGCTGCTGATGTTTGGAGAAGATCTTGGCGATTCTCTGCGGCTGCTCAGGGTGATGTCTGCAGGGACACAATTTGAAGGTGATATCATATAAACCCTTTTACAGGAGGTGCAGAGACGACATGACTCACCTGTCCCACATGTTCAGGTGCTCCATCATCCTCTCATCATACACCAGACCTGTTGTTGTGGCAACAGAGGGGGCAGGGTTGGCTTGCTCTGTACTCTGCTTATTGGTTGTTGCTGCTCTGAGGACACTGCCCTCAGCCAATGAGCTGCCTTCTGCACAGGAAGCAGGAAGAGAGAAGTTCATAAACTAAACTGCTGAGTGGGCATTTTCCTTCCTCGAGCAGAGTCGCTGATGTTCTCAGTGAATGTGACATCATGTGGCTAATGGACCGACTGCATTCAGCAGCATGTTCACTCGACCAATCAGCAGCCAAGGAAGTGTGAATGAGCTGTAAATGTGCTTGAAAGACCACTCACTGATCCCTGTTATTTTTCTGGGTAAACTACTGAAGTCTTTGTTTTTGTTCAATTAAAGTTCCCATTAAAGAGCCCACAGTGCTTTTCTTTGTTTTCTGACCTATCTACAGCGTTACAGTGGTGGATTATCATCTGAGGCGTGACCTAAAGCTCAGAAAATTAGGTGAACGTATGCTGTTGCACTTCTATGCAGAAGCAACCTAGTTTATACACATCTCGCAAAATCTCACTCGCAAGACTTTTTTTTCTAACAAAATTAAGTATTACGTGATAGATAAAGGATTTCCTGTCCCAGGAGCTGCTGATCCAGTTCTACAGAGGAATCATCCAGTCTGTTCTCTGCACCTCCATCACTGTCTGGTTTGGCTCAGCAACCAAACAGGACAAGTACAGACTTCAGTGGACAGTCAGGACTGAAAAGGTCATTGGTGTGAGCCTGCCCTCCATGGAGGACCTGTACACCTCATGGGTCAAAAGGAGGGCGGAGAGGATCACTGCTGACCCCTCACACCCTGGACACAATCAGTTTGAACTCCTCCCCTCTGGTTCTATTATTTTCATCTGTTACATTTAGTCATAAATCTGTATGAGCAGCAATCAGGAACACCTGAAGCCAGATTTATGCTTCTCTGAGAATGTCTACACAGACTTATAGTACACAGAGAAGGGTGTTATGGGAATGCACATATCAGTTGCACGTTGTGCATCAAGCAAGCTGTTTGCAATCTCACTTTCTTTCTGGATCAATCAAACAGAAGAGGTAGGAAAATATAAACATTTGCTCTGAAAGCTAAATTCCTCTTCAAGGCAACTTGTTCTCCTCCCCGTTAGCGTTTGTTAATCCAAGTTTATTTCATAAATGAGTGACTGTAGCGCTTTGGTTACACTGTCACAGAGCGACACTGGTTTATGTTTCTGGATTTATCCAACGTCTAAAGTGAAATGTAGCGTACAAGTATTAAAAAAACGTGTGAATGTCTCTGAACAAGTCCTGTGTATGTTTGCTTATGTGCAGCACAGAGAGGCATAATTCCAACCTGATGCCTGACAACTGCTGGAGCTGGAGGTGATCTGTATCTTTATTTATGCATGTGTGTGCATCTTACCCAGCACCTGTAGGAAGGCCCAGGTTGGATACAAAGCTGAGATAGCCTGAGAGATTGACTGCAGAGCGCTGAGAGACACAGGAAGTCAAACATCAAATATCAGCGCTTTG